CAAGCAGCCTTGTCGCAGCATGTGTACACTTCTGCAACAAGTCACTGTTACAAAATTAAAATCAACCAGAGTTGCTGGAGCTTATTTAAAAGTGAAATGCCAAGAAATGCAAAATTTGTATGGCAATAACACCATTTTTGCAGGGACATTAACATGACTAAATATGCATAATAAATTAGTATCTACCATGAAACTAGACATACCTTTCATCCTGAACAGATCTGTAAGGAGCCAAGAATGGCTTACGCTTCCTCTGGTGTTCTGTAAGACTTCGCACATCAAGGCAGTCAAAGAACTAGTCCACCATCTCGCAGATTCTGGCAGTACCTTCAGCCACTGGTGGGCCAAAGGTCTTTAGCACTGATGCTACAGAGGCACTCAAGACCTGGGCAGCGAGATTCACCCGCATAACAGAATAAGCATTCAGATTGATATGATCGTATGTCAGCCTCGGTAAAAGTTTCAGACGATTATCAACATCCTGGAAAAACATCTCTGTGATGTGCTGCCACAAGATGTAATTGCCATCGTTCCACATATGTCTTGTACAGGTGCCAGAGCCTGAGCTCTTCAGGCAGTTCCGGGTGGTTTTCACAAGGTGTGGTGCATCTGAAAAAAAGTATATGAAATGATGCGGGGCATAAAAGTTCACTGTGCGGCAGCATAGGTCACCACCAGCACCAGCATTGAGTTCTTTATGCAGGCGATAAAATCTTCTGTTTGGAGAGGCACCATCTGAGGTTGCCGCGACAACCCACAAGTTGCAGGAGGTTTCCAGGATACCAACTGCCTCCCAGAACAAAGGCATCATTTGTGCAGCAGTGATCCCAGATGTGGCAAAGTGTGCAAGTGCAAACTTCAGTTCAGTGCACACTCCTCGTACAAGAAATACGAGAGCATGTGATGCAATGACATCAACTTTCTCTAATGCAGCAATTAGAGATTCAGTTCTGGGTCACCAAGGTCTGTGAAACCAATAAGTTCCCCAGTGGCCTTGTCTAGAACAAGATTTGCGTTCACCTTCATTTCATCAAATAATAAAACAATGTAACGCTGAACATCAAAATAGCTTGATGTCTCTGACTTGAGCACTTCAATCACTTCCTTCTGAAACCCTCTCTAAGGTTTTATTGCATTTCTGTAGTCCTTTAACCTTCTTTGGCTTGGCAGAACTAGCACCCCACAGTTGCATAGTTCCTCATAACATGATGGACTCTTTGCAGCCAGAGATAAACAAAACCTGATTATCATCGGGTGATAACGCACTCCGGTAGTGCTCCTAGTAAACAGCTTTCTTTGTTCTTGCCAAAATAACTTCATGAATTGAGTTATTTTAGTGTCTGCAGAATCAAGGATTTTCACAAAGTCATTGCTGAGTTCATTGTCAATCTCCATGCTTGACTTTTCTAGTTCTACACGCATTTCAAACAATGCTTGTTCAAGCTGTGCGCACTTCAGCCTCTGCTCCTGTAATGCTAACTTTATCCGCTCTGGATCTGTCTTTGACACCGGGGCATTCAGGTGTGCAGGCTTTGAAGACCTACTTTCCTTTGCTTTTTGTGCACTGTTTGCACATCCAGCTTATGTTGTGCACACACAACAAGCTTCTCCTTGTTCCTGTATAAGTAAGCATCCCTTGGCTCTCCAAAAACCTTTATGAGGAAACTGTTGCTGTTCTTCTTCTTCTGCTTCTTCTTCTTCATGTTCACTCACTGTGTCATGATTAATGGGAACAACGTGATGAGATAGCTTACTAGTTAGTTCCAGTGTCTGCACTCCAGTACATAGCTTATAGCCCTGTAGTTCTTTGACTAAATTTGACATTGTAACATTTTGCATCGATCGACGGTACTCCAGATATAGAGGGTGGTCCTCCACTAAATAGCAACCATACACTTTCACAGTGAATCCCAGGCCATCATCTACGATTATTTCAAGCTGTGGCAGCATATATGGCTCAGTCATTTTTTTGAAGACAGCTTTGTCCACTGAGAACTTCGACATTTAGTCACTTATTGTTTTCAGATTCTTTGCTCGCTGACTGAACTCCTGGAAAGTGCTATAGAATGATGTAGAGGCAGGGATTTCCACAACATCTTTCACCACAGAACGCTCATGTCATGGAGTTGGCTGGCTGCTTTGGTGGCTTTTCCTTGGCATTTGGCGCTTTGGCAACGCTCCGAATCGAAGTTTCTTTTTATCGTCATTTTTTCACCGGGAACTATAACAGAAGGAAACGAAAATATTTGTTCATAAATACGGCTTATTTGAGGAAAGGAGAGAGAGCTAACTTCACCGAT